AAAAAGCTGTTGGAGTTTTAAGTTGAAAATGAGTATATTATCCAAAGGATTTTGATCTTAAAATCATTATAACTTGCTGGTCACCGGTGGCTCACACCTGTAATTCTAGCTACTCAGGAGGCTGAGCTCTGAGTATCAAGGGAAGTTTATGAGATTCATACCTCCAGTTAACCACCAAAAAAAAAGAAAAGAAACAAAAGAAGGAAAGAAGGAAGGAAGGAAGGAAAAGAAAGAAAGAGAAAGAGAAAGAAAGAAAGGAAGGAAGAAAGAAAAAGAGAAAGGAAAGGAAAAAAGAAAGCTGGAATTGGAGCTGTGGCTCAGATGGTAGAGTGTCAGCCTTGAGGGAAAAAGCTAAAAGCATCCAGGCCCTGAGTTCAAGCCTCAATAAACATAACACACACATACACACACAACTTGAGTTTGGGCACCAATGGCTTACTTTTATAATCCTAGCTCATCCTAGAGGATGAGACTAGCAGATAAAGGTAGGAAGCCACCCAGGCAGAAAATCCATGACACTCCAATTATCCAGCAAAAAGCCAAACTGGAGGCATGGCTCAAGTAAGTAACAGAGCATCAAGCAAGCACACAAACTGAGTAAGCTGAGCAAGTGTGAATTCAAACTCAAATACCATGAAAAAAAATTAAGACCCCAGTTATACTGAGATAGTAAATTAGCTATATCTAGAATAAGGAGTCATGGAACAATTTTAAGGCTTATATTTGTTCCTGATATAGAGTCAAGAGTCATGAATTCATATTTATTTGAACAAAGTTGAAAAGACAATGGGTGTGGGTAGAAATTATTTGCCACCTTTAATCCTTAATCTTACTTCTAAAGTATAAAATATCAAGCCAAAGTTGAATATATTAAATAGTTAATTTGCTAGAAAACTAGTTTTTGATCAGTTGAACTTACAGTTAAGTTGGCTTTTGTTAAAATGCACTGGCAATTTCTTTATATAAAGGAAGTACAGTCTAATTGTGCCTGCTTAAAAAGAAATCTCTGAAAACATGCCAGCACAGCATAATACAGTGTAGAAGAAGAAACATTCCATTCCCAATCAGGAGAGATTCTAACCAGCTACTAAATAATTTTAGAGTTGAGTTGCCAACTGAAAAATCAACAGGTTGGACTGTTGCAACAACTAGCCTTGTTAGATGCTTTATTTGAATTAGACATCTTATTTGAATCCAGCTAATCTATATTCCTTCTAACGGTTGCATTCTCACACTGAGAATGTAGCACTTTAATTTTACATGATTATAGGAATGTGGATAGGAATCCTTTTACAAAGATGCTTCACCATGACTACCATGTATTCATGTGAGCTCTTGGGTAGGAAATGGGTAATGAATAGATTTTCCTTTACCTCTCAACATAGAGATTCTAGACCTCCACTGGAAGCCCTTGCTCACTCTTATTTTTGTTTGTTTTTAAAGAAATGCTTATTTCCTCTTTCTCAAAACTTACTTGATACAGTGACTTCCCAACCACCCCTCCTCTTCTGTTTTCCACCCCCACCCCCATCCAAGACCAGCTCTACATAGCTGCCTGGATTATCACCTTCCTTTGCTTCAAGATTGACACCTAGAGTGGCAGTAGGTCCTGGAAACTTTTTGACTACAGGTGCTCAGTTCATAGTTCCTAGGGTGAGCTACCCAAAGGGGATGTTCATTGAAAATCAGGAACTGTCATGGGCTACCTAATCTAGGAATACAAACCAAACCACTTTAACCAAATCAACATGATAGTTCCTGGAACTGAAAAGCGGAGCAAGAGAATGGTTCTAACTTCACAAAAGCTCCACCCTTCCTTCCTTCTTATTTAAAGGGAAATTTGGGTTAAAGATGAAGAAATGTATCTGTTCACGCTCTTTTAAAGCCAAGTTCCAACTACTCAGTCAGGTGACCCGCCTCTGGCACAGCTCTGCCTGGTACTGGAGGCAAGAGTTCTCTGCACAGTGACCTTGCTACTTTCAAATATAGTGTAGTGTAAAGGGCTTGCTGCTTCCTGTAGTCACGTGGCTTGACATATTGCAGACCTTCTTGTTTTTCTTCATTTCACTTATAATCTGCCAAGGAGTTCTTATTTCTTTGGCTTTGCCTTTACAGTGCTCTCTGTCTGGAAGAGTATTAGCCTTGATCTCCAAGTAAACTCATTTTAAACCTAAGCAGTCATCTCTTTTCCCAGGGAATCTTTCACGTAGCCCTTAACTACTCTCATTTCTGTCTCCATTGCAGCAAAGAGCATTGAGTATTGTTTTTGGGTATTGCTGTATCTCTCCTCCAAGGTAGAACATTTGAGATTGATAACTGCATCAGTAATTATTGGGAGAGTAATCGAGCAGAGCGAGTAGCCACTGATAGATTGCTGGGTAGGAGGAAGTGAGCAAGAAAAATCAGAGGATCTCTGGGCATTCAAGTGCCAAACAGAGAACCTAAGAAACTATGGACTACAAGGTGCCAGTAATCACAACTACCTTGGAGGCTGAGATCCCAGTTCAAAGCCCAGCCCAGGCAGTGAAGTCTTCAAGACTCTTATCTCCAAGTAACCACCAAAACTCCAGAAGTGGAGCTGTGGTTCAAGTGGTAGAGTGCTAGTCTTGAGTAAAAAAGCTAAGGGACAGTGTACAGATCCTGAGTTCAAGCCTTACAACTAATAGGGCTTGAAAAAAGGAAGGAAAGAAGGGAGGATGGAAGGAAAGAAGGAAGGAAAGGAGAGTGAGAGAGTGGGAAAAGAAAGCAACTATGGACCAAATTTTCCTTTCTAGTTTGTATATCTTGCCAAAAGACAAAAATGAGGTCCCTTAGGTGATTATAATGGACACTGGAGGAATGGGCTCTGAATTGTTGCCTATGGACACTGGTAGCTCATGTCTATAATCCTAGCTATTCAGGAGGCTGAGATCTGAGGATTGTGGCTCAAAAGCCAGCCAGGACAGGAAAGTCCATGAAACTCCTCTCTCCAATTAACTACCAAAAAAAAAAAAAAAGCTGGAAGTAGAGCTGTGACTGAAAGTGGTAGAGTGCTATCCTTCAGCAAAAACAATCTCAGGGGCAGGGCCCAGGCCCTGAGTTTAAGCCCTAGGACTAGACAAAGAAAAGCAAGAAAGAAAGAAAGAGAGAGAGAAAGAGAAAGAGAGAGAAATAGAGATAAAGCAAGAGAGAAAGAGAGAGGGAAAGAAAGAGAGAAAGAAAGAAAAAAGCAATTCAATTCTTTCATTTCAAAGCTAACTAATCTTAACTGGTCTACACAGGAAATCGGGTTTCGGTTCACCATCTGCTCCCATTCAACCACAGTTTCAAAACAGTACAGATTGGCTCAAGATTGAGAAAGCAAAACTTGGTTCATCCATCAGATTATTCCTCTCTGGCTCGTTTTTCTTCCAAAGCACTTTCAGAGTGTGGTATATTTTATCTTCCAGAAAGTTTCTGAAGCACAGGACTACTGCTGTACGAATTTCCCCTCTATCTTCCCTTCCTCCTACCCCTACCAGTACTTTCCAAACCACAAGAGGTGCCTAATTTACCATTTTTTTATTAAAACTTATTGAAAGTCACTGGAAACTCCGACCTTTATTTTCATTTACTTATTTTGTGCCAATATTAGAGCTTGAACTCAGGGTCAGGACATTGTCCCTTAGCTTTTTTTCCCTTTTTTCTTTTTCTTTCTTTCTTTTTAATTTTTTTATTGTGAAAATAGGGGTTACAATTACATGGGCAAGGTAATGAGTACATTTCTTATTAAGCATTGTTCCCTCCTCCATTGTTTCCCCTTCCCATCCCTTCCCATCTCTCCCTAACCTACCTCCCCCCCTCCCTTAGCTTTTTAGCTCAAGGCTACCACTCCATCATTTAAGCCACAGCTCCATTTCTGGCTTTTGCTGGTTTATTGGAGTTAAGAGTCTCATAGACTTTCCTGCCCAGGCTGGTTGGGACCACAGTCTTCACATTTCAGCTTCCTGAGTAGCTATGATTACGAGAGTGAGCCACCAACACCTGTCTATCTGGCCTTCATTTCTAAAGTCAAAGTTAGTATCTCCTTTGGGAACCTATAGTCCTTGGTACTTTACATTCTGAAGTGGATGTGGTCAAAGGGAATTTTGCTGTTTCTCCCCTAGGGCACAAATAAGGTGCTTACCGGTTTTGGAAAAGAAGAAAGAGGTAAAACAGACTTAACTGTAGTAACCAGCAACATTACGGTAGTCAGGAACAAGACTTAACTGTCATTTTCCTGATTCCTTAGAAGCTCATTAGTAATGCCACATGAATTGGAAATTATTGTTGTATGCTTGTAGATTATGTTATGTAGGCTATGTAGGTTGATTGCCTTTGTAAGAGTATCTTATGGTATATGAATCTATATTCATTCTTCATATACTGAGGATAAATGAATTTGGAAGACTCCATAGATCATGATGTTTCTCCTGCTCTTTTGAAAGCCAACACACAAAGCCTTCCTTTGTGATCTACCCTAAACTTCTTTAGCAATAGTTACCAAGCATTTTTGATAGTATGATTTTTTTTAAAGCCATCCATCTATTTAGTGACACTGAAGAATGACAGTAGAATTCACTAACTTTACTTATGACATTTCTCAACTGGAGAAAGACCCATTCAAAATCACAAGACCAGTTTTCTCAAGACCAGAGCACATAGGAAATTTCCCCTACTTCATCTCATTCACAACATCCAAACCATCGGAAATCATCAAACACAGTAAGTAAACTAAGTTTGTAATAATTTAAGCACCTAAGTGACAGGTCCCAAAAAGATATCAGATCATGAAAAAGATATCCCAAAAAGATATCCCCAAAAGATATCAGATCATGTTAAAGTATTTCTGGCCTTGTTGTCTTTGGGGGTTGTTAGTAAGGTACCATTAACCTAAACAGGAAATTATAAAGTAACTTGAAATATGTATGGAGACTCTTAAGACATCCTACCCCTCATAAATAACTGAGTGCTTTGCCCAAGTTAAAAGTTATCTGTCTTACCTTTTGTAGACAATGTCCCTCAGTTCTTCAGGCAGAATTTGGTGATTAAGTTGGAGGTAACCAACGCCAGGCCAGAACACAGATGTCTGGGGCTATTTGTGTAAAAGGAGAAGTGAAGGGAGAGGAAATATAATCTTGCCACAAAGACAGGAAGCATCAGCTAGAAGAGGGAGGAAGTAAGTCTGAGTCCACCTATGCTCTTCGCTCCAGAATGCAACCCTTCCCCATTAGGTTTTTAGAAGCTCCCACAGCTTTCCCCAAACTGTTTTCTGAGAAATGAAGAGCTGATGATCAAATTGGTACAAGGCTTAATCTGAGTTCTGGGAGCTTTAAAGTAATTTTAAGTAATTACTTTTATCTTAAAAGAGAAAAACAGTACTTCATAATCAATGTGGCACCTCAAAATTACATATGGATTTGTTCAGGAATTACTAAGACTGATCCCAGTAACAGAGTTTCACATTCAGGTAAACTGGAAAAGGAGTGAAACACAAGAATTGATTTTTTTTTCTTACTGGTACTGGGGCTTGAACTCAAGGCCTTTTGCTCTCGCTTGGCTTTTGCATTCAAGGCTGGCACTCTACCACTTGAGCCACAGTTCCACTTCCAGCTTTTTATAGGTTAATTGGAGATAAGAGTCTCAAGGACTTTTCAGTCCCAGCTAGCTTTGATCTCTATCTACAGATCTTAGCCTCCTGAGTAGCTGGGATTATAGATATGAGCCATTAGCTTCTGGTCAATAATTGATATTTTAAAAAAATGTTTCCAGTCAGAGTTTTAGGCATTTCTCTTGGAAGATATTCTCTTCTCAGTACACACTCCCTCCAGCTGGCTTCAAGTGGTCTCAAAAGTAAGATTCTCTTTATGTGAGGGTAGTCTCTGGGGGCAGTCCCCAAATTATGTCCCAAGAGGCACCAATAGAAATTATTTGGTTAGGAGAAGGAACACCAGATTGAGAGCCTAAAAATCTGAGTTTTGTTCTCAGTTCTGCCTCTATTAACTCAGTTCTGCCTCTATTAACTATAAAAAAAATTGAAGGTGGGTGCCGGTGGCTCATGCCTATAATTCTAGCTACTCAGGAGGCTGAGAGCTGAGGATTACACTTCAAGGCCAGCCCATGCAGGATAGTCTGTGAGACTCTTATCTCCAAATAAACCACCAGAAAACGTGCTGTGGTTCAAGTGGTAGAGTGCTCATCTTGAGCTGAAGAGCTGAGAGACAGTGCCCAGGCCTAGAGTTCAAGCCCCACAACTGATCAAAAAAAAAAGTTTGAATCTCTCACCCTGTTTATTAATAGTGATGTATATTAATAATGTTTCTAGTTTCTGCTATATTCCTAATTACAAGTGAGTAACGAAAGGCTTTAAGGGGCTAGATAATTTGTCCAAGATTGTACAGCTAAGAAGTGGCAAAGCAGTTGGCAGTGGGTAGCACATACCTACAATCCTAGCTATTCAGGAGATGAGATCTGAAGATTAAAGTTCAAAGCCAGCCCAGACAGGGAAGTCTATGAGACTCTTATCTCCAATTAACCACCAAAAAGCATAAGAGCTGTGGCTCAAGTGGTAGAGTGCCAGTGAAAAGCTACATGGGCTGGGAAGGTGGCTCAGTGGTAGAGTGCTTGCCTTGCATGCATGAGGCCCTGGGTTCAATTCCTCAGCACCACATAAGCAGAAAAAAGCTAGAAGTAGTGCTATGGTTCAAGTGGTAGATCGCTAGCCTTGAGCTGGAGAGCTGAGAGACAGTGCCCAGGCCCAGAGTTCAGGCCCCACAACCAACAACAACAACAACAACAAAAAGCTACAGGACAATATCTAGGCCCTGAGTTCAAACCCCAGCCAAGCACAATAGATAAACAAACAAAAAGCAAGTGGAAGCAACTCAAGATGGTAGAGGATGTTACTTGGAAACACTATGACTATTGTATTTCGACAAACATATTTTCAACTTTAGCTCTGCTGCATCTTCTGGAATTTCTTTTTATGGGAAAGATCAATGGACTTGGCAACACCAAGTGTATTATTGCTAGACAGTTGTGATATCAAGTATCAAGCTCCCATTTCTTTAAAATTTTTTTTTTTTATTGTAAGGCGCTGGGAAGTTGGCTCAGTGGTAGAGCGCTTGCCTTGCATGCCTTGAGGCCCTGGGTTCAATTCCTCAGCACCACATAAACCAGAAGTGGTGCTGTGTCTCAAGTGGTAGAGTGCTAACCTTGAGCTGAAGAACTGAGGGACAGTGTCCAGGCCCCGAGTTCAGGCCCCACGACCAACAACAACAACAAAAAAATGTAAAGATACTGTACAGAGGGGTTATAGTTACATGAGTAAGGTAATGAGTAGATTTCATATGGAGTGTTGTTACCCCCTCCTTTGTTTTTTCCCTACTATCCCTTTCCTCCCCACCTCCCCAACTCCTCCCCACTCAAGTTATAAAGTTTGTTTTCAACATAGTGTCTTGTATGTCTCATTGTTACTATGGGTCAACCTGTATCCTTGTTTCAGCATTTTGTTATTTCCCTTCCCCTCCCCAAATTAGAAAAATGTATATACATGATGCAAGGCATAGAATCAAATACCGTGACAACAGATATTATACTGTAAGGGGAAGAACATACAAAAGCAACAAAAAAAAATCACATAATACATTAAAAACAAGAGCAAAAAAGGAAAAACCTCTTGTGTCCATATCTTGGGGTTCATTTCACTTAGCATCATCTTATATGGTCATATGTACATTCAGGCTCCCATTTCTTTATCCACTACATGAATAGATGTTGAAACTTTCCCCAGTGCTTGACTAGAAAGAACACATCTGGAAAAGCCAGCTATGGCATTCGCCCTGTGGCAATCAGATTCTGTATAATCTACACTGAGGGCAGGCCCTTCAGGGAAACAGTTAAATAAACATGAAAATGTTCTTTATGTCAGAGCCGGTCAATTCTCAATATTCTTTAACTAGAGTACAGTATACATATTTTCCCAGACTGCTTTGACCATGGACTTAATCTGTCATTCAAGCTGCACTTATAGTTAAATCCAACATCAAATTTAGTTCAGTGAACCTATAGTCCATACTCAAGTCTGCTCCTATACTCACTCTCTCAGGGATATGCTGTTGAGCACTCAGCTGCCTAAGTCAGAAGCCAATTACCTTCTCTCCCACTAGCTCCATTCTCTACTACCAAGTTCTATAAATTATAATGTTGCCCAAATAATTCTTAAATCTGGCCAACTTCTCCAATCCTGGAGGTATTACTGGATAATAGTCCTCATCTCTCACCTGGGTTACATGATTTCTAGGCTCCTTCAAGACCACCTAGGGCATTTCCCTACTTTGTCCCCAAGAGGAAGAACCTTCTAAAATGCAAGTGTAACTGCTTCACTCCCCAGCTGACCACTCCTTCCCCACCCCCACATCCTGACACACTGGATTACACTGGATACTGCATTCCTTTGAATTGCTTGAATAAATCAATCTAGTGTCTCTCTTTCTCCTTCTCCCTCCCTTACCTCATCTGCTCTTTTCCCCTTTTCTCCACCTTCCTTCCTTCCATCCATCCTTCCTTCTATCCTTCCTTCCTTTCTTCCTTCTTTCCTTCTTTCCTTTCTTCTTTTCCCTTCCTTTCTTCCTTTCCCTTTCTTCCTTTCCCTCCCTCCTTCCCTCCCTCCCTCTCTCTATTTCTTTCTTTCTCTCTTTTTCTTTCTTTTCTTTCTTTCTTTCTTTTTTCTTTCTTTTTTCTTTCCTGTGTCTAGAATATCTCCTCACTTTGGGGGGGGGGCACAGTGCTAGTGTGTACACACACTGGGTCCCAGGGCTTGAACTCAGGGCCTAAGTGCTGTCTCTGAGTTCTTGTGCTCAAGAACTTAGCCTCCAGAGTAGCCAGGATTATAGGTGTAAGCCCCCAGTGCCAAGTTCCTCCCACTTTTTCACCTAATTCTTGCTCTTCTTTTGTAATTTAGTTCCTTTTGGAACACTATCTCCCTCCCCCACAACAGGATCAGGTAGTTATGTTCCATGGCCTCATTCTCCTATCTCCTTACCATTTATTGTTTTTCAGTGATTCTCCTCTAGACTCAAAGTTATACGCATTCGGTGTTACTCTGTGTGTTCATGACCTACTTTTATTCATCATTGTATTTCTAGTGCCTACTACTGTGTCTGGCATGTAGGTGGTACTCTACATATTTGAATCACTTTAGATAAATACAGTGGTTGGAAATTAGGGGACAGAGATTTGAGGCAGGAGGAGAAGTCAAGAGGAAGGAATCAGTGAGTACCACGAACACCTGTGGAGGGGAGAGTAGTTGCTAAAAAGGGACTCTTAAGAGAACCAGCAAGAATATCTCAAGAGAAGAGTTGCTCATAGTAAACCATTTTAACATAATACTTTTTTCTAATGTGCCTGTTTCTTTCACCCACTGAAAGGGTTGATTCAAGTGCTTGACTTACAAACCATGGCCCATGGCCACTGGGTTTGGAAAGAAAGCTCTACGCCTATTTACCCAAACTTACAGGATTGCAATGAGAACTAATACTCTTCTGAAGGAACAGGAAGGAAAGCAAGAGACAGAGTCAGTATCAAGGAATCCCATATTATGGAATAATCCAGAAGAATGCTCACAACCTCGAGGGTGGGGGGAACAAATGTGAAGAGATATTTGGCAGGAATTCAGATTTATGCTTTGGTCTTTCAATGAATTATATTTTGGCCAACTATCATGGGTGATAATGGAACCTTGGAGTTTAGAAGATAAACTTGGTCAAACCAAGTGTGGAAGTACAAGTTAGTACAGCTTCACTAGCATGTAATAATACTTTCCAAAATGCATTTGGAATGGAAAGAATAAAATCCTCTTGTGTTAGGTGCTGGTGGCTCACACCTGTAATCCTAGCTACTCAGGAGGCTGAGATCTGAAGTTCGTGGTTCAAAGCCGGTCCAGGGAATAAAGTCCATGAGACTCTTACCTCCAATAAACTATTCAAAAGAAGCCCTAAGTGGCGCTTTGGCTCAAGTGGTAGAGTGTTAGCCTTGAGCACAGAGAGGCTCAGAGACAGCATCCAGACCCTGAGTTCAAGCCCCAGGACAGGGAGAAAAAAAACACCCTCTTGAAAACAT